ACACCTACCTAAAACGGCTCGTTCTAACACGCCCCCACATATCTATGTCACGATGTGGGAAGATTTGCATAACGCCGCCCAAATGTTCACGCAAAGAAAGAAGGCGTAACTTTTATTCTCGCTGTAGAATTGTTGCTGCCGCCATGTCGTGAAGTGTGTTTCGTTGTGAAAGCTTTTGGTCTTCCAAAAGAGGATGATATCTGCTTTGTCATGCCTAGAGCTGATACTGTGCTGGTTGCTGAGGAAATACATCAACTTCGCGCTGTGGATCGCCAGATCGGCTTTCACCGTGGACGAAGCGGAGTCCAGTACGGGGTCGTCACATGAGGTTGCCGCAAGCCCACCGGCCGCTCCTTTGTCGAATCCGCCAGCTGCGCCGTTCTCAAGCCCACCGGCCGTTCCTCACTCAAGCCTGCCGAATCGCGAGTTTTGAGCAGTGTAGAGTAGGGCTTGTTGTTCGTCATTTCTCCGATTACAAATGCAGACATGGTTTTATGTTTACGCGGCGAGATGCAAAGCAACGCATAAAAAGACAGTATAAATCATTATAATCCATAATTACTGTATGTCCCCACTGGATGCAACAAATGCCTCGTTTATAATGGGTTTTAATGTTTTTGTCTCGTCGCTCCGGCTGGACACGGCATCACAATATGGTAAGGGGCGTAACATTTCCGTCACACGCTTGAGGTATTCGGCCAATCACAACACACTGGATAGCTGGCCAATCACAGCACACCTCGCTTTTCAGACCGATGAGCTTTGTAAAAATCGACTTGTTTCAGAAAGGCGGGGCATAGAGGAGAAACAATAATGTACAGTATGTGGAAAATAATGTGTTTTTTTAACCTTAAACGGCATAAACACATTTCATTACACCAAATACACAAAATAATGTTCTTTTTAGCAACATCATATGACTCCTTTAAGTGTAAATTTTAAATTGAAGTTGGTGGATGACCTTTCAGTCATACATACCAACAAGATATATCATGCTCAGATTATACAAATGTTATAAAAAGCACACACAAAAGGCATCAAAACTGTTGCTATAACAGAGGCAGTGTGTGCTGTATACTATGGGTCAGCCAATAGATTTAAAGCATATATCATATGCGCTGCACATAAAGAAAAAAAAATTGTCTTAACTATCGTAGTCCACCAAAAAAAAAAGAAAAACAACAGAAGTGTAACCATAACTATAAAAATAAAAAAGTAACTTAAAATAAATAAACATTATTAAAAATTATTATTTTTCAAACATTGTCCACATGCATGTGAAGTAAACTAAAAACAAACACTTTACATAAGGCGGCAAAATGGCAAATAATACATTAAAAAACTTTGTTACTACAAAGACATCTGCCATCTACACAGAAAGCTCTTTAGGTTTATTCATGGTGTCATGGACAAAGTAACACTGTCTAACTAACACAAGTCACCTTTGGCAAATCCTATCTCTTCTAAACAAGCAACACCTTGCACCGGGCAGACTAGCACCACATCAAAATCTCACTGGCCCAAACCTGTACTGTATATTAAACCTCAACTATGTTCTGATCGATGATTTTGTTATCATGTTTATTTTTGTTTAAAAACGTGGACACAAACTGTGGCTTGAAACTTCTGCATTGCACTTGGTTAAGTCACTGTGGAAGGGTTCATCTGCTGCAAAGTAAGAGTTTAAATATAAATTACCGAGCACTGAGCAGGGTGCAGAGAGATTGAAAAATGGTTAAAACGAAGCAGGAAGTGCGAGTCAGAGAACTTCACACTACGTGATCAGCTTTTTTTCCTCTAACCAGCTTGTAAAAAGTGACAATCATGCTTGATCTGCGAAAAACAGTTGTGACAGAGAGACAGTAAAAGTGAGAGACACCTTAAAATAAATAATCTTATATACCGACCTGGTGCATGCTGGGAGGTGGCCAGTGAGGTCATTGAATTGGAGAGGTTGAGGTTGGCAGTGATGCTGAGCTGGCTCTGAACAGGTGGAGGGTATGGAGAGGTGGGTGTGCGCAGACCCTCCTCGCTCGTTTCGTCATCGATGCCCGGCAGATAGGTGTCAATCAGTGCATCCAGAAACTTGACAATCAGCTCCGCATAGTCTGGGAACTGAGTTTGCTGTGGAACAAAGAGAAGCTCATATTTCTGGAGATAATATAGAATAATATCATCTTTATCCATTAAATGTGTTAATTCTAAAACTCCGGTAAAGTAACTGATTATGGTCAATGTTTTCCTCTTAACATTTTGAGAGCAAATTCAGTGTCACATACCTTAGAGAAAGGACCAGCAAACCTCCAGAGTCCATTAAACCCAAAAGCTGTGGAGGTAAGGAAGGAAAGTAAAAGATAAGTAAAGATATTATCCTCCAGTCACACACACTGACCACTCTTTCAGCCACATTCACAGACTCTGACATGCACTGATCCAGGGAAGATCATTTTGACTCTGTTCAATTATCAAATTAAACCCAAAACAAGGTTTAGACTCTGATAGCGGTTCTACAGAAATGTGCATGTGTAGTAGAGATGTGTGCTGCTTTACTCTGCAGGTAGGACGTTTGGTACTGAGGTGGCGACTCTTCATGATAAACTACACTCTGCACAATTCCATGGACTGGGTTCAGAAGATTTGGGTCCTGACACAGCGACAGCAAAGTATTAATCTTTGAGTCCAAGAGGTTGTGACTGAAACAAAAGACAACATACAACAATGAGAGCCTTATTTCATCATTCTGTGTCAAATGCATTGCAGTTGGACTTACACGACAGGAAAGACCTTTGGGAAGACAACACTGGCCTCAGCTAGAAACTCATACAAGATCCTCTGCTCAAATTCATCCGATGTGTTTTTCACCTGAGTGGCCTGAAAAATCATTGAATCATTCATATAGATGAGTCAAAATTCAGAGGATGAAGGTTTGGATGGGTGTTTAAAGATAATGGCAGATGGGAGGTGGGGGGCAGGAAGCGACACGCAAGACTTCAGAGGAACAGAAAATGATAAAAATAAGAAAAAGTAACAAATATTTAAATTCTATATGCAAACTAATCTGTGAATGAGGAAGTGAAACTAATGTTCCTTATTCATTCTGAGAAAGAAAGACATTACCAGCACTGTAAGAAGTAGCGCCTGGATTTTGGGATCTGTGAGAACTTCCTCATTTAGCAGGATGTTGGACTCAGTCACCGAGACCTTCCGGAGGTGGTGATGCGAGATTCTCTGGGTTTCTTTCGAGAGAAAACAAAAAGTTATAAATGGATGCAAACATTGAGAATCATTTCACTTGTTTGTGGCCCTCACCAATTTCATATTCGTTTTCAGCCACTCTTCTCATCTTGGGCGGTGTTGTGATACCAGATTCCATTTCAGGCCTCTTCGGTGCTTTGCTGTCTGATATCAGGTGGTCAAAACTTTTTCTGGTACCTAAGAGAAAAAATATAAGACCATAACATCCACTAATACAAACTTATCTAATAATAAAAAGCATTGAGTTTATACAAAATCTATATTTATGACAATGCAAAATGGAGTTACCTAGAAGCATCTTGGAGTTGACCTGGGAAGGTTGCCCCATGTCCAGGCTCATGGATTTGCGTGTTCTTGGGCTGATCTGCCCCACTATGGGGTACTGGGCCACCAAGTACCGCTCTGAGGCCTTTGGGGATGCCCACAGCTGGCTTTCCCACAGCGTTCTGGATTACAAAGATCATGCTTTTTGAACTTGGAAGCAAAAAGTTTGCATTTTACAAAAGGTGATAGTGTAATCTGCTGTCTAGGTGGTACCTGCAGCTAGGATCCTCATGATGTATGGAGTATGTATCCATGGGAGCATTCTCCATGTTAAAATTAGAGAGGAGCAACAACTTCCTGTGTTTCAGGCTGCAGCGGCTACGCACTTCCTCTGACACTGGGAGGAGAGCTATTCAAATGCACATACACAAACATTACCCACTCCACTGAACCCTAAATAACTCATGTAAAGACATAAACGAGAGAAGACAGAGAAAGAAAGGGGAGATAGCAGTGGTTTCCTTACCTGCCAGATATGCAACGCTCTCTGTGTTCACCTCAAACTTATCACAGTTCAGGTGTTTTCCAACCAAGGCCAACAGTATGTGCAGGATCCGGATGGTGCGTGCCACTGTGGTGGGAGATGGGTGTCTAAACCCTGCCAAAACCAAACAGAAATGTGATAGTTTCCCAACAAACACACGCAACGTTTAAATATTTCTGCATAAAACCCACTCAATACCTTTCAGCAGGTGCCCGACCAAAGCGAAATTAAAGTTGGAGCTGAAGTTGAGACCAACAAAATGGTCCATCTGTTTACAGTGCCATTCCAGAGGCTGACGAATCTCCATGAAAACCTCCTCAGGACTCTGAGAGATAAACAAGACAAATCCTTTTGCCTTCACTAGTTCACTAGTCAAATATTCTGTATAGTCGTGTCTTTAATATGAAAATAGCATGCTACAATGTAATCTACAAAATAACTACCCTATTTCCAAGTGTATGTGTCACCCATGATTCATTTATTCTGTAACCGAAGGTGGCCAGTAACGGGTGGTTTCCATGGGCATACGCATGTTTGTATATGTGCTACAATTTGACATGTGAGAGTGTTATATTAGAACCTTGTCATTGAAGACTCGCAGACTATCGAGTGTGTGTAGGTTCTGTTCCAGCAGAGCAGTTCCAGCGGAGTACAGATTCACCTCATCCAACTGCAGCACAGCCACAGCAACCCAGAATAGTGCTTTGTGCATCGGTGAGTCCTGAGCGACACCACATAGTGAAATAAGTCAGACATTCTCACACACACAGTCATATCTAGAAGAACACTGTAATTTGAGACCTTGTTGAGCAGAGGCTGTAGTTTAGTGAGGGCAATGACGGTAGCTTCGATCAGCACCTGGCTGTTATAGTTATCAGGACCCTTCAGGCAGCTCTCTAAACCCTGAGGGAAAAAAAAAACAGTTACTGCAAAGCTAGACGGCGACATTATCACCCAAGACGATCAGCACACATCAAAATGTACTACTTTCCAGAGCAGAGCAATAACCGTACACAATACAGCTTATGGATTGGAACTTATTTTTATGGCAAGCCCATGTTCATGTTTGAAAGTAAGACTGACAGTTTAGACAGGTTCTCACCCGGTCGATGCTGAGGAGAGGGCTGGCCTTGCTCAGGATCCGTATGATTTGTTTAATTTGAGTGTGTGTGACCAGTTTACTGATGCAACCAAACACCACAAGAGCCCGCGGCTGCAGGGACGGATTGTATTGAAATGCAAACCTGCACATTAAACACACACATCGTGAATCTAACTTGAACACATAACAGTGAACTTAAACTTTGGTTTCTTAGTAAATTATTTAAAAATTCATCAATACAGAGCAGTGTTTACATACTTCTGAGCCAGATCGGTCCACTGGTCCAGCCATTTACAGCCTGGAATGTCCCTCATACATGCCTAAAACACAAAGGGAAAAACCCTTTAACACTTTTAACAAGTACGTAATGCTTTACAGCAAGCAGAGAAATATATAGAGAAATGAAACAAACAGACGCATACAATTTGATCGTCGTTTTAAGGTCTGAGTATTAAAAAAGTGTTTTAACTAAACAACCATTTCCTGTGAAAACAGAGCAGTTACTGCTAACAGAACTGCTAGCAATTTCTTTAAAAAGAACACTGCAAAACCAACCTAAAGGGATAGTTCACCCAAAAAAGAAAATGCGTCATGGTACTGTTGTGAACACAGAAGAGAAGAAATTGTTGAATAAAATAGATATTTTTGTTTTCTTTGCGCACCAAAAAATATAGCTTCATAAAATTACAGTTGCACCACTGATGTCACATGGACCATTTTAATGATGTCCTTACTGCCTTTCTGGGCCTTAAACGTGGTAGTTGCATTGCTGTCTATGGAGGGTCAGAAAGCTCTCGGATTTCATCAAAAATATCGGTAACACTTTCTATGAAGCCCGTATTTATAATACATTATAAGGGTATTCTTAAGGCATTATAATGAATGTATAATGCATTATAAAAAAACTTATAATATGTTATATCAACTCATGAATAATCATAACAACAGTTATAATACATCATAATACTTACGTATTTGTGGTTATAAGTTTAAGAGTATGATTATTTATAACACACAATGAACACCATATTAAATCTACTACATTTACAGAATAATGGACTGTATCATATCTTGACATTGTTTATTTAAGATCTGCACAGTATCTTACTACCGCTTGTGAGTGGTTAGATGTTGAGTGTTTCCTGTGGAGCTAATGTTAATTAACTGATGTGAGCTTTACTGAAAAAAATGCAATGTTTTATATGGTTACATTTTATTTTGATGGTCCCCTTAATCAATCGACTATAAGCAACTTTGCACCTACATGTCAACTAACTCTCATTAGAGTATTAGTATGCTCAAGAATGGTAGAATCTAGTATGGTAGAATAAGTTGACATACTTGCAAAGACACTTATAGTCAGTTTATCTGTTGTTTGACCATCAAAATAAAGTGTATATAATAAAGCAAATATTTACAGTAGCAGACATACTAATACTCTAATGACCGCTAGTTGATATGTAGTTGCAGAGTCACTTATCAACAGCTGTTTAAAGGGTACCATCAAAATAATTAAACTGATATTACAATAAAAATAGTTCAAAGCAAATGTGTCACATTTTACACATATTACACAGGCCTTACGGGTTTGGAACGAGATGAGGGTGAGTAATTAAAGACAGAATTCTAATTTCTGGGTGAACTAGCCCTTTAACAAAGAAACAAGTGCCCACAATAAATACAAAATGCTGTGCAAAGCAACAAAATTCTGATATTAAAGGGGTGGTTCACTGGGTTTTTTCTAGGCTTGATTGTGTTTATGGGGTGCAGTCTAACGTGTTAATGCTTCGTAAAAAAAAAAAAAACGCATTATTTTTCACATAATTTACCTTTATTCCACACCGCTCTGTCCCTTCTCTGAGAAACTGACTGATCTTTTCCTGCTTTTATGAAGCCCCGCCCTCAGAAATAGGCGATGGGCTCTGATTGGTTAGCTAGCCCAGTGTGTTGTGATTGCCTAAAACGCCTCTAGTGCGCGTCTAAACGTCCCGTCCCTCGCCTCAGCGCATGTGCTCCGGTTGTATTGTAAACAACGGCATCGTTAATATCGCTTATCAGTTTGAGCTCGATTGAGAAGCAGAGGATATTATTGAAGAGGATCGTGCAGAACCTGTGCAAGCACGGCTTTTAATGGTGGGCCTATGTTTTTTGTTTGTTTGTTGTCTCATACTTTTAGATACGCTGTTGTAAATGCTACTGCTTATGTTAGCTTTTAATATACGGTTTTATCCTGATTAAAGCTTTAATACAGTACGGCAAACGCATGCGCGTCCATGTTTAATGCTTCTCATAGCTATGTGAAAATAAGTGTATAATTGGAACAGTTCATTGTTGGAGCTGAGCTGAAGGAACAGGATTGAGAACCGCTGCTTTTGAACATTGATTTTGAAACTTGTGAATCCATTAGAATCGTTAGAAGACAGAATCGCGATTCATATATGAATAGATTTTTACGTGCTCCCCTAGTTTTCTCGTCCTCTTCTCTAAAGCAGCGCAGCATGGCCTCGCTCCCTTTGCTGCCTTTTCCCGAGGGCGGGGTTTATCTGGGTTTGTGATGTCACGAACCCAGGAAGTAACTTGTTGTAGTCCCTACCAGCCGTTTTTGTAGGCATTCAACTGCCAGAATTTTAAAAGACGATATTTCCGTTTGCATTGAACTTTCAGCTTCATAACTTTGCAGATATTGTTTGTGCTCAAACAGCAACATTACACACTAACTAACGTTAAAAAAGTGAAATCGCAATGAACCACCCCTATACAGAGTGGGAATTTTTGACCAATGACATTTTGGGTGAGGCTACCCAGCGCAAAAGTCTTTCCCTCATCACTAGTCTACTTAAGACGGAAGAAATGTGATTATTCACTTGCTGCTTATGAAGTATGACATACCTCCATGATCTCCAGCAATGCCTCTGTGACCGTCTCCAGGGATGACAGAGCAAAGGTCTCTCTCTCGTAGGAGCCCGGAGGAAACGAACGATCCCTGTAGCTGGAACGAAAGGCGATGACCGCAGCTGATTTGACCTTGCTGATGCCGAACAGCAGGTAGAACTTTGGCAGGGAGAACTCTGTCAGACTTAGACGCAACACCTGCTTGGTCTCCTCTGCACAGCAGAAGAACAAGGCACTTCAGTAATCAATAAATCACTGATCCATGAAAACATCTCTCTAGGGCAAAAATGTCATCTTACCGCTGAAACTCAGCTGGGAGCATGTGCAGAGGGAGTGGATGATGTTGATAACCAGGCCATGCGTGGATGCCCGCAGCGAAAGAGGCCCCGTGGCCACCAGCAGGGTCACGACATGGAAGAGGTAGGGCAGGTGGGCGGCAACATCCAGAGAGTTGTTGAAGGACAGCATAAGCATGTACCTGGCCAGGATAGCGATATCATCCCACATCAGGTGCTGCTCCAATGTTGGTGTGGGTGATAGACACGTCTTGTCGATGATTTTACACATCCGAATGATCACCTGTGGATCAGCACAAAGACAAAATTTAATTCACATAAAACCCACGGTAAATTTAGATGAGAGAATTCCAGTGTTGTGATGGTAAACTAAAATGAAAAATAATAAAAATGTAAATAAATAAAGCTTAAATAAAACAAAATACAATGCTGAATATTCAACATTATATAAATAGGTTAAAATAGTTGAAAAACTTATAACTGCTGCCTTGGCAACTAACTGAAAGTAAGTTGAAGTACTAAAATTACTGAATCTAAAAGTGAAATAAGAATAAGACTTACTGAAACTAAAACTTAGAAAAAAACTGAAAAAAAATTAAATATGCATAATAAATGTATAGTATAATAAATACTAAAATATATAAAAATATATATATAAATATAAAACTGTATATATAATAGAACATATAAAAATGAATATAAATAATACTGAATTAACACTGAAGAGCACAATACACAAAGGAACACTGAAGAAAACATATTTCCTTTTCCCATTAACAAAAAAAAAAAAACAGCTTTTAGGATTGTTCTGCTTGGAAATTTTTTGAAGAATTAGTTTGAATGAATTATTGAGAGGTTAAGTTTGTCTAGTTCACAGAACCCAGCTGAGCACAATGAACCAACCAAAAGTCCATGATCACTATCTCTCATGACAAAGTGAGAGAAATAGAAACAGATAAGGTGGTTAAAGAGAGTAAGAACAACAGCGAGAGAGAAAGAAACCAACCAAACCACATCTGATTCTCACACGGGGCTTTTAAATTTTACGGCTTGCATACACTCTCGCGCAGTCATTCGAGCCTCTTCAGATAACAGTACATCAGAACAATCCAGTAACAGACCGAAAAGGTAAGAAACCATTTATTTTGTTTTATCTATGAGGATCAAGCTCCTCAATTTCATTTCAGTAATTTAATAAAATAATGACCCAAAGTCTTACAAAAATTAATGAAAGTTTATAGATTTAAGTGATAAATGGTATATAAATTAATGTATATAAAAGTATATATAGTTCCTAACATACTAAGTTTCATGATGCACACTGTGGATATCTCAAAAATTTATGAAAATGTGTACATTTAAAACATACATTCTACATGAAGAGCTAAGCAAGAAAAAATATCAAACAAACAACATTAAATGTATATATATATATATATTTATATATATACCCTTGGTAAATATGATCAAAGAAGGCTGTGAAAATAAATCTGCATTGTTAATTCAAATTCATAAAAATTCACAAAAATTTAACCTTTCATTGGATAATAAGAATTTAAAATGGGGGGAAATATCATGATGAAATAAATGTTTTTCTCTAATGCACATTGGACACAATTAACGGTACCCTTTTATTCAATACTTTTTGAAACCAAAATAGTATAGGAGTTTTCTCCTATAATGCCTGATGAGGTTAGAGAACACCTGACAAGAGAACAGAGACCATTCATTCATCCAGAATCTCTCCAGATCCTTCAGATTCCCAGCTCCATGATGGTGCTTCTCCTCTTCAGTTCAACACACTTATTTTCTATAAGGTGCAGGTCAGGGAACTGGAATGGCCAGGGCAGAAGCTTGGTTTTGTGCCCAGTGAGATCCTTCAGATTCCCAGCTCCATGATGGTGCTTCTCCTCTTCAGTTCAACACACTTATTTTCTATAAGGTGCAGGTCAGGGAACTGGAATGGCCAGGGCAGAAGCTTGGTTTTGTGCCCAGTGACCCATTTTTGTGTTGTTTTTAAGGTTTATTTTTGGATTATTGTCCGGTTGGAAGATCCAAACATGGCCCATTATAAGATTTCTAACAGAGTCAGTCACTTTTTGATTTTGTATCTGTTGGTATTTGATAGAATCAATGATGCCATGTGTCTAAACAAGATGTCCAGGACCTCCAGCAGAAATATAGGCCCACAACATTAAAAATACAACAGTACATTTCATTGTACACATGGGGTACTTTTTACTCCATCTTGAGGGTTTGCTGCTAAAAAGCAATTTTTTTAGTTACATCTGACCATAGAAGCCAGTCCCGTTTGAAGTTCCAGTCGTGACTAACAACTGAATATGCTGGAGATTGTTTTTGGTGAAAGCATTTTCTTTTCTTGATTTTTTTTTCTTGAAGCCCTCCCAAACAGCATGTGGTGTAGGTGCTGTTTGACAATAAGGTTTTCTGACCCCGAGAACTATTTTCTGCAATTCTCCAGCTGTGGTCCTTGGAGAGTCTTTAGCCACTCAAACTCTCCTCCTCACCGTGCATTAGGACGATATAGACACACGTCCTCTTCCAGGCAGATTCATAACATTTTATGTTGATTGGAAATTCTTAATTATTGACCTGATGGTGGAAATGGAAATCTTCACTGCTCTAGCTCTTTTCTTAAAGCCACTTCACTAATTTGTGAAGCTCAATTATCTTTTGCTGCACATCAGAAATATATTATTTGTTTTTTTTTGGTTTTCATTGTGTTTATATTTCTGTGAAACAGGAAGCCATGGCTGGATAATTTCATGTTCATTATCACGCTGGTGTGCTCAAAGTTATGAATATGAATGGGAATATATTTCAGATATATTTTACTCATAAGAATTTCTAGGGGTACCAGTAATTGTGTCCAACATGTATTTGAGAAAAAACATTTATTTCATAATGATATTTCCCCCCATTTTAAATTCTTATTCTCCAATGAAGGTTAGATTTTTGTGATTTTTTAAAATAAAAGATCAAAAGATTTTCACAGCCTTCTTTGATCATATTTACCAAGGGTACCAACAATTCTGACCACGTGTGTATATAATTGAATATAATTGAATTTGATACATTTATACATACATGAACATCCGCAAAATAAGATTTATACACTTGTTTTTGACACTGAATGTCACCAATAATTTTTGAATTAGTAGATTACAATATTATTGAAAACATTCATTTGATTTTGAAGATGAATCTCTAGAAAAATGGCAAGTATATATAAATAATGCGAAACATAAAAATTGAACAGAAAGTAAAAAAACAAAACCTTTCCTTTCTCTTATGTCTTGCAGAACCATGATAAGTCCCAGAACAGTTTGTTTTGTGTATTTTGCATTGCTCTTCGGAACGCCACATCCTAACCCCACAAATGCAACAGAAAATAACACGTCTGTGACAAGTGACCCCACGCCAACATCCAACAATATCAGAGAGACATCAAACCTAAACACTGCGACATCTACAGTCTGCACTCAGGCCACGCCTAAACCTGAGGAAGGACACTGTATTTTCTTTCTACCAACTGGTAAATACCACCTGGAACTGATTGTGGCTGCTCTCACAGTGGGCTGCTTGGCATTGTTGCTGACCACACTGATATGCGCCAGTCAGGTTTGTCACCTGAGAGGAATTATCTCTAGTCTCCAGCCTCGTTACGACAGCACTGACCGACATGCCAGAAGAGAGAAGAGTAAATCACCATTCCTGGATGAAGGCCAAGTGGACAGACACCCAACTGAGACTTGCGTCATGCTATCAGAGGTCACCACAGCACAAGAGGAGAGTAGAGAGGATCAGGAGAACAAGACTGAGGAGAAGAATGACACAGAGCAGCCCAGCACTGAGCCGCCTGTGAAGGACCCAAATGGAGACATCACCCAAGAGAACAGTCCTGAGCCTGATACAAAAGCACCAGAGAGCTCCGACACAGGGGTGTGATCACGATCAGACACTTCTGGTGTCACAACTCCCCCTGGTGGCATTTCAAGTCTGCACCTGCTTAAGCTTTAACTGTTCTCTACTGCAAAAGACTCAAGAAGAAGGTCTGAAATATGAAAGTATAAAATTCTATTGTATTCTATAGTAAAATTCTGAAAGTAAAAAATTCTAAAGCACTGAAAATACTGCAAATAAGCCTGTCACTCTCCACATCGGCTCTCCTTATTTTAGGCTATAACAATATTGTATGACCATGTTTCATATGTGTGCATTTATGTTGTCTGTATTTTAAATAATACATCTGTATTTTGTTGTCACCTAAAAATAAATCTTTAAACATCCTTAAAAAGTGGAGCTACATAGACCTTGTTTGTTCTTTTATTTGTTGGCCATTTTGCTGTCACTGAGCATCTCTTCGACCACAAACTCTGACCCCACCAACGCAGACACACTTCAGTGGAAGGGTGGAGAAGGTGCGAAAAGGTCACGAGTGAGAAGACAGAACTTAAACCTACAACATGCATTACGTTTACCAGAAAAAGCTTATGCTTTCTATATGTTATGGAGACTTGTGAACGAAGTTTACAACGATACAAACACCATCAAACCATTAACGATGAGACCAGACAAACTGGAATTTACAACATCAGAAGGGCCAAAGAACATGGAGATCGAGGTCAAACCATCTTCAGCTCCCATACAGGAACAAAGCACTCATTCCATCAGTATGACTAGTACAAATGACTCTACAGCTATGGCCTCTTTCCCCACTGAACCATCATCGCTAGATTCACAGAAAACAACTCAATTAGAAGATTTACAACTAGTGGAACAATCAACTCAACGACTCCAGACCACAATACAGAAGATTACAGAACCCAATCAAGTTATAGAGCAACACATCCCTGATTCCACCACATGTAAAATTCCCTCCACTGCAGCTGAAGAACCTTCTACAATTGCCATACATGAACAGATAGACCAATTCACTGGTATTAATGGTACTAATAATTCTACAGCTATGGTGTCTCTCCCCACTCAATCATTATTACCAGAGTCACAGAAAACAACTCAATCAGGAGATTCACAACTTGTTGAACAACCAGTTCAACACGTCCAGACCACAAAACAGAAATTTATAGAACCAAGTGAAGTTACAGACCAACACATCTTTGATTCCACAATATTCTCTATGAAAATTTCCTCTAAAGCAGAGGAACCTTCTTCAATTGCCCTTCATGAACAAATCGACCACTTCACTGATATTAATGGTACAAAAAATAACTCTACATCTATGGCGTTCTACCCCATACCAGACTCACAGGAAACAACTCAATCAGGAGATTCACAACTTTCTGAACAATCAGCTCACCGTTTCCAGACCACAAAACAGACAATTATTGATCCCAGTGAAGTTACAGAGCAACACATCCTGGATTCCACAATATTCACTACCAAAATCTCCTCCAAAGCAGCAGAAGAACATTCTTCAATGGCCATACATGAACAAATCGACCACTTCACTGGTTTTACTGATATGAAAAACTCTACAGCTGTGGCATCTTTCCCCATTCAATCATCATTACCAGACTCACAGAAAACAACTCAATCAGGAGATTCAGAACTAGCTGAAGAATCAACTCAACACAAAATTCCCAAACCCATCATTCGTTCAATTGGAATAATTGGTACAAATGATTCTACAGCTATAATGTCTTTTCCCACTGATCTGCCACCACAAGAGTCACAAAAAAACACCCAGTCAGGAGCACCACAACGAGTCAAACATTCAATGCAACATTTCCAGAGCCCCAAACAGAAAATTACAAAACCTAGTCAGAAAATTGTACAACCCACTGTTCTCATGTCCACCCTAAATCAGGCCACAACATACAGAGTTCAACAGAAAACTCCACTACAATCTGCCATAGACCCACACATTTCAAATAATGACATACTTGCATCAACAATGGAAAATGACAACCTGCAAGCAACTTCACTTCCACAAATGACAAAGAATGAGCAACCCAAAATAACACTGGCCAATGGAATGGTGCAAAGCATTTCAAAAACCACTCCACCTGCAAGGACGAAACAAACAACTTTATCAACAGACAAGCCTGAAATCATAAAAAATCCTCCACACACACTTTCTGTAACTTGGCAAAATGGGAAATCCAACTGGCTTGTGACGGCCACACATTGGAGAGTTTCAAAACATACAACACCTATATTCACACTGAAGCAGCATATCCAAGACTCCACTTCACTTCTGCTGACAGAAGACAGCCCCAGTTCAGATCTCAGTGAGTCCACATCAGATCCAGAACACCATAAACCCAAATCGACAGAAGAGCCTAATCAGCACACTGAAAAAGACACAACAAATACAGCTAAATCTTCTAGAGACAGTGTAATGCAACCATTTATGACAACAAACACTCACAGTCTAACAAACGATACATTAGGAAGCAGCAAAACAGCTTCCACATCACCTCTTTCAAACCTGACAGAGAATAATTTAGTTTACTTAAAAGGACCAGAGGACACTTCTCTGCCACCAGGCATTAGTCTACAGGATACCACATCATTCATAACCTATCAGAGTAAAGCAAAAACACAATCAAAGCGCACGACAAACAAATATACAATCCTTGGCAAAATGAAGTCCCATGCAAGTTTCACGTTGGTAAAGGACACATCAACTCAAGCTCCCACAGATGGAGTGCGATCATCTCAAACTATTCCAGTCTCCAGAGAAAAGCTCATTATGATGTTCACTCCAAATCCTTCAGAAAAACATATTCATACCACATCAGTCGTGAGACATGGATTTCTGACATCAAGAACACAGGAAAATCCATCCTGGATTTCAACAAAACGGTCCAATATCCAACCCACTGAAACAGAAGAGTCTCGATCAGACTCGGCAAATCAAGGACCTACATCAGATTCAATGCCAAAGGAAAATTACACCAATAGTGATCTGCTAACCGAGATGGACAAACCAACACGAAGCATGAGTGGGCGCAAACCAAGTACGACAACTCATATAGCTACAACTAGAACGGTTTCACAAAAACCCAAGACATTTATTTTACCAACACACAAATCAGCTAATACCGCAATAGAAGAGGAAACGAAAACTTGCATAGATATTTTTGGATTACTCTTCACTTTTGGGTGCCTCATGTTGCTGATAATAGTAATCTTGCTTCGGGTAATATGGAGAAGATGGCAAGCCCGACACTGGGGGAGCAACATGTGGGTAGCAGGTCCTCCCCTCCTGTGGGGAACATATCATTCAGTCTTGCAGAACAGCAGTTCACACACTGCAATACAGATGAGGAAAGAGAACATCAAAAAGACAAAGCGGGAAAACAGTGATGTTCATGAGACTATCGCCCTCAAGCAACAACACAAAAACCTTGTATAAATATGAGGATGTCACAACCCAGGGCACTCTCTAATTCTTACCCTCAACATGACAGCTTTTTTTTAAGCTAATAAATTCTGAATTAACCAATTCTACAGACTCCTCAGTGAGTCACAAACTTCCACACAACATGTTCATGTCTTGCATATGCAAACACTTAACTTTACATGAACAAATGAGCGTTAATATATTATATACACGTTGAGATTGTGTGATTGTATTTTTTTATTGTTTTAATAAAAAAGCTATTTACAAACCTGTGTTTTAAGTAATATTATTATGATTCGCTAAAACAAAGAAGACCTTGTTGAAAAATGTTAATTCACTTTATAATATACAATGGAAAGTTGAATACATGTAAAAAATAATATATATATATAATGACCATCTTCTCTAACCAAAGACCTCCAGCTGACTTTCCCTTTTGCTTGGCTCACATCAAAATGCCACATGCCACAGAATCATTCGAAATGGAGTGAGGATTTGTGTTTGGGATGAACAGATCAATGAACTAAGGGAAGAAACTAGTCAGCACAGGTAAAATAAGAGCTGAGTGCAGATGGATTTAGCTAAATTGTCTGACTATGCCATTTCTTAACCTGTGTTTTAAGTAATATTATTATGATTCGCTAAAACAAAGAAGACCTTGTTGAAAAATGTTAATTCACTTTATAATATACAATGGAAAGTTGAATACATGTAAAAAATAATATATATATATACGTCATGTGGTAATGACCATCTTCTCTAACCAAAGACCTCCAGCTGACTTTCCCTTTTGCTTGGCTCACATCAAAATGCCACATGCCACAGAATCATTCGAAATGGAGTGAGGATTTGTGTTTGGGATGAACAGATCAATGAACTAAGCGAAGAAACTAGTCAGCACAGGTAAAATAAGAGCTGAGTGCAGATGGATTTAGCTAAATTGTCTGACTATGCCATTTCTGCTTGACACACACAATATAAAGCATCATACACTCACACATACACACACACACACACAGAGCAAAGCTACATTAGTAGGCAGAGGATGTGTCATTACTGGGCAGCATTAGCAGGCTCTGAAAGAATGAAGCGATTGAGAAAAAAGAGGGAGAGGAGGAGAGAGAAATAGAGAGTGGCACTGGAAAGGTTCTGTACCAGTGCTCTTTTGTTCAAAACGCGCACACACACACCTGCCCCGGCCAAGGACACAATGGTGAGGAACTTTAAATCAGTTACCAAAACGCGTGCTAGGAATTACACTAAGAATTAAGAACTGCTTCATTATTAGTGTTTTAATTTAAACACCGAGTTTTACAGTATGTGCTGATTGTGTGGGAAAATCTGAGAGCAACTGACTAAAACATGGTAAAATGCATTAAACGGAGATGACAGTATGGTACTCATACTGAGAAGACAACAGCATAATCAGAATAACAAAATTCATAAAATTAGGACTTTATTGAAATTTCTGCTAGATCAGAAATGGTGTTAATTTTAGAATTTTTTCCCAGTTGGAATTAGTATTTTTCATCATACATCCCAGTCATTTAAAACTCAGACAAAACATGTTCAGACCTGAATTACAGGTTAAGTGTTGCTTAATGACTGAAGAAAGAATGAAAACAGGAAAGAGGGAGGGGGAGAGAGCAGAAAAGAAAGCAGAGGAAATGGATGCTGAATGAGGGAATCCAAAAGAGGAAACAGAGATGTCAGCACTTCCTCTCTCTCTTTCTTGTACCAGGGCATTGGCTCTACTACATCTCCCCTCCCTGCCTCTCTCTCTCCTCTGCTATCATAGTGATCCCAGAAAGGGACCTGCACAGAGATTTGGATTTGGATTTTACTGCAGCATAAAACAAGAATAGCATAAAAAATAAGAGATCATAGCTGTGTTAATCTGAAGATCAAGCAAGAAAAAAAAGAGGTGAGGGATGGAGAGAAACTGAAAGAGGACAGGAAAAACGAGCACAGAGTGATGACAAGGAGAAGGTAAGTAATTCACAATGCAGCAAGGTTTGCCTGAGGAAGGATTAGACTCACAATCACACATTTTCAGGTTGTGTGGCATGATATGAACAAGCTTTTATGCACATTATATATAAATGCTGTTTGTTCCAAGCGCGTGCTTAGAGAGTCAAGCAGAACTAGGTGCAGGCAGATCTGCAGAGCCGCTGCATGAAGACCTTCACATCTCTCTGCTGTACGTTTGCATGTGTAACACTGATTGTCAATCTCAGAATTTATGCCAATGCTTTGACTAGCCTCACAACTGCAAACAAAAGAGGCAGAACACATAAAAATACTTTTTGTCATAATTCGCAAAGATTATATAAGACTCACAGCCATCACTCACTATAATTAGATTTACTATCAACACAAACTATAATCAGCGTCACTGCTGCCACTCACTATAATCAGAATAAACACTGCCATTTTAATCACATACTATATTCAAATTCACTAAAGTTCACTCATAGTCATTAGGTGGCATCAGACATACAATAATGAGATTCACCGAGGTCAGACACTTTCATCCCCATTATAATCAGACACAAATTGCATTACTCAATATAGTCAGACTCGTTTGCATCACTCACATTAATCAGACTTACTGTCATCAGGCCTAATCAGTCACTCAATATAATCAAATTTGGACTCACCATAATTACGTAGCATCAGACACACTGTCATCAGACTCACAAAGGTCAGACACTAAATTTCATCTTCGTTATGAGACAGTTTACACTAGTTACAAAAATCATACAGATTGCATTACTCAAAATTGCATTACTCACTTATTACCAAATTTATATACTCAATTCATCAGTATAATCAGACACAAATAGCATAAATCAAACGTATCAGCACTCACATTAATCTGACTTACTGTCATCAGTCCCAGTCACTCAATATAATCAGGTTCACTAAAGTTCAGACTGACTGTCATAACTTGCTAAACAACACACTGTTATCAGACTCATTTTCATTATAATCAGATTTCTATCACTTACTATAATCAGACACAAATAGCATAAATCAAACGTATCAGCACTCACATTAATCTGACTTTCTGTCATTAGACCTAATCACTCAATATAATAAGATTCACTAAAGTTCAGACTGATTGTCATTACTTACTATACAACACACTATTATCAGATTCATTTTCAATTTAATGTGCATTATAATCAGATTTCTATCACTTACTATAATCAGACACAAATAACATTAATATAGTCATTGCCATCACACAGTTCATGTAATCAGACTGTAATCTTTAAACTTTCTGTAATTAGACTCAATATATTCAGACTCACTTAAAAAAAAATCAGTCATGGACATTAGTACTATACTACAAACACAAATAACTTTGGATGCATCCTGCATATAGCATGTAACAAACAAACAAGCATTCAGCAAAAACAGAAATCTCTTGCAATTGTCTACAGGAACACAATGAAGATGCCCATGTGTGCAGCGATGTCCTGCCTGCTCTTGCTGTGGCTTACGTGTACTTGCGTACATGCAGAATGTCCCAGTGTTTGTTCCTGTAGCGAGAGCCATCGGACAGTTGACTGTTCCTGGAGGGGGGTTAGGCATCTGCCTATTGGCCTGCAGCGAAACATTCAATCCCTCAACCTGACCCACAACCGGCTATCTGACCTGGACCACCACCTAAGCTCTTTCACACATCTGCGCATCCTTGACATCTCCTATAACCGTCTGCTTCACTTCCCAGCCTCACTGCCACGGGCATTGTGGGAAATCAATGTCTCAGGAAACCGTCTGCGTGTACTTAACAAGGATGACACAGCGTACCAGTGGAACCTCAGAGTTCTGGACCTGTCCGTCAATAAGCTGGAGCGTGTGGTCTTCATCAACAACACGCTCCCCAACCTGAAGGCTCTCAATCTTAGTCATAACAAGTTCTGGACGGCACCTACCAACATGCCCCAAAACCTGGAGGTGGTGGATCTATCCCACAACACTCTGGTCCAGATCCTGCCAGGGTCCCTGAACTGGCTACACAGGCTGGCTCGGCTCTACCTGCACGCAAACCGCTTCACCACGGTCAGGGAAGGGGCATTCGAGCATCTGCAAAGTCTGAAGCTCATCACTCTAGGAGACAATCCCTGGGCTTGTGAAGAAACTGCCAATATCAGCCACCTGTTGGTGTGGACCAAACACACTTCCGCCCGAGTGTTGGGCTGCCCCTGCCACACCTGGCACACCTGCGGAGGAGCTCACCTGTCCAGGACAGGGAGCTGGCACTTTGGCACATACACGCTGTCCCCATATGTCTTCGGAACCGAGGAGCCAAGCCATCCATATGTACAAGCGGTCACCACACACTTCTGGTCGGGGACGTCACTCCTAAACACCAGGGATGACCAAACAGGATCTAGAAGCACCAAGGAACAGGAGTCTTTCAGAAATGGTTTTCTCTTTACCTCAACTTCAGAGGCTTCCCATTCTAATACTCATTCAACTACAGAGGGCCCAGTCACAACAGGTGACATCGTCACCACCGTCTCCACCACCCGCAGGACCACCACTCTCCGTACGCGGAGTGTGAAGAGACCCAATCAGAACCTCAGCCAAAACACAAGCTCAGGATGCAGTGTGGGTTCACTCTACACATCAGTCTGCTGTATGCTCCTCCTGATGGCCATGATGCAAGGGCTCTGAGGCTCAGCCGAGTCACACGGTCCTTCGATCAAACTATAAATTCATTTTAACAATAGGGCTGGGACAATAAATCGATGCATCGCGATTTGTGGATCGATTCCGAGATGTTCGGAATGTATCATGATTCTCTCTCGAATCGATTCTGAGCTTAGTTTTTAACAGCAGATGGCGCTCTAGGCTAGTTTAGAGTAATGTAAGTGGTTAAATGTACTTGCACATTGGCTTTTATGCTTTTGATGTGAGATTAATGTAAACACAGCCCACTGTGAACATCCTTTTAATTCGCTTCAACCTTTTCAAACTTTATGAATGATTATTTTAGGTTCAAATGGTGCATGTGTAAGGAACTGGAAGCAAGCAGAATTCGGCTATTTCTAAAGCACGCATCTGCTATTAAAAACTAAGCTCAGAATCGATTCAAGAGAGAATCGCGATGCCTTCGGAAAATCATTTCTCGATTCGCGATGCATCGATTTATTGTCCCAGCCCTAGTTAACAAATGGATAACATGCTCAGTATTTTCAAATAATGTTTATGTTTAACATATTATGAAAACATTAAAAGGACTTAAACTTCCAAAACAGAACAATGTACCAATGTAGTGGAGCAACAAACATTACCGGACATACAGGTTCAAATGAAATGGGTGTAGAAGTATTTCATATGTTAATCAGATTAACTTCTGACAATCCATTCTGTTTTAAAAATGATAAGTTAAATGCATGATTCTGTTAATACTTCTGCAATAATAAAAACATGAACAAAACGCATTCTTTTTTAATCAAAATTCTACACTGTTCAATAAAATCGAAGACATTTTTTAAATACAAATGATCAAATCAATATAATGAAATATAATGATTTTCATCAGATTACATAGATGAGATTGTGATGCAATTCAATAAAGAAATGTGCTTTTTGTCCACATAAGTATGATGGCCAGTAGTGCACAACACATGAGCTGCAACGCAACAAAATTAGCATAACACAATGGAAACAAGCTACAACAACGAAATTATCACAACACAAAGGAATTAGCAGAACACAGCGAAATTAGTCCAATGCATTGTTATGGAGACTTTTTGACAGGTTGTGCACTACTGGGCCACCTGGGCCATAAGGGTACAACCCTGGCATTTACTAGCCGGGGTTAATAACTGATGGAAACCAGCCAAACTTTCACCACTTGACTACAACATATTATTACTTGTCCATCCATAGTCAAAACGGATTCCATTTGAATGTCATTTAAAAACAAAGTTTTATTTAAAGTAATAAATCAGTCACTAAAATTACCAGAAAACTACCTGCCATGTTCCAAAAACAACTGACAAACATTATGCTTGATTCAAGATGGTCTACCAGCACCTTCAGCTTCCAAACAGCTGGTAATCCATCTTCACAACTACCTAAAAACGTAAAATGTAGCTTTAAACCTGATGTTAACAGGATTTTCCAGCTGGGAAAGCAGGGTTTATTTTTCTCAGCATCAGCCTTTCATTATCATGGCTGACTCTTCTGACAGAACACAAAACATTTAGAAAGCCTGTTATTACTAATGGCAGTGATAAACAGTTAAGTCAGGTTACCCAGCTATGTAGGAATATAAACTTTAAAATAAGACCCAATTTGGAAATCTTTTGTCAGAAAACACAGCAACTCAAGCCAGTCTTCCAATTGTCACCATGATACCTCATGAAAAGCAAACAAACTATTTGTTAAACAAAGAGAAATCTTGTCAGCATGATCTTTCCATCACTGACCCTCCTTTTTGAAGAACCATGTGACTTCTTCCACTGGTGTCATTATTAAAAGCGTCAGCATGTGTTTAGAGACACTGCACATCACCACTCGCAGAGATAAAACATCAGCATCATTTACGTGGATCACCGCCGGTGAGTACCCGGGGAATGTTCTAAACATTGTTCTATGTTCTATGCTCTAAATTATTTCTTTGGAATGAAGCAAAGTGTTCACAAATTAAAATTCAATTCGGAATGATACTCAACCTCTATAAACATAAATTAATCTTGTATCGGAAAAAAAACTGCTCATGTGTGTTAAACATCATTTTGGAGCTAATAAAAAAAGAAGTGCTAATACTTCTATATACTGATATGATTTTTGTGTTATGTTCTTCTCAGATCAGAGAAATGGCTCTAAAAGTGGACATCTGCGTGGTTCTGCTTGTTGTGATGTTCGGCTGTATGCAGGTCCTTAGTTCAAACACTACTACTTCATTTACCACCACTGCCAAAAACAACGGTGCTAATCAAAATGGGAACGGTGCTAACCAGTATACGAACAGCGGAATTTCAACCAGCAACTCCACTAGCATGACTTGGACTATGAACAACACCACATCATCCAGCTCCAAAAACAGCACAATCCAGAATGCTAAAGAAGGAACTGTCAGTGCCCTCATTGGCAGTTCCTCCGGTTCCTCGGCTTCCTCCACTTCCTCCGTGACCAGCTGCTTCAAACTTCCGCTGCTTGTGTTCATAACTTTGAGCTTACTACAGATGATACAGTGACCATCAACCTCCCTTGGGCTTTGAAGGCAGACAATAATGTGAGATTCTTTGGAGACTTAATAGTCTTTCTGAAATGCTATGAAACTTTCGTAGATGTTATACAGCTTGTAACAAACAGCTTTTTGCTTAATATTAGCGAAAAATATTCCAAATATGAAAAAAAATATTGGTACTATTCACAACCACATTTTTTATTTATTTCTGTAAAATGCTGTAATATCTTCGTAATTTAATCAACAAAGGTAAATCTATGCATCTGTATGTTGTTGTTGGTTAACTGATTGTTTTTAGAAGCAATAAAACGTTGAACAAAAGAACAATGTGTGCCTTTGTAATTCTTTTGCAACCATCGGTCAGGTATCATGAAGTCTTACCTGCGAGTTACATAGTAAAACACAGGGTTTCCGTTCTTTGAAGTTCCAGCCTGGTAAAAGATGTTAAGAGTCTTCAATGCTTTAAACTCTTCTTTCTCATGCACCTGGTGTCTAAAGAAAAATAAAAACAGTTATGGACTCCAGTTATGAACTGCAAAGTAAAAGTGGGGCTTCTGCTTTAAATAATTGGGTTAGAAAAATAAAACTAATTCAAACTGACAAGAAGTCTTTCATCTGTAATAAGAATTTTTTTTCCTGGAAAACTAGCATACCATGCAAAAATGGTTATGCTTGCAAAAATACCATGCATACTGAAAACTAAAAACTAAATAAATAAAAATAAAAACAGCAGCCTTCTCTACCTTGTCATAAACTCCTCAAATTTGGAGCTGGTGAGATTCAGGCTGGACCAATGAGTATCTGCCACAGGTTTGTGTTCTGGGGGACCCAGGTAAGCAAGCAGGGTGGCCATCTTATCAAAGGGCCTCCTTCCAACAGCTTTATGATCCCTGAAGAGTTTGGAAAAATATTTTTTGATTAACTGAAACTTCACTGAGGATTTGAAAAAAATATCAAAAAATGTATGCTTGCATTACAATATTTTACTGTAGGATTAATACAAAGCATGACATAAAATGTACAACCCTGTCATTCAAAGTGATGGATGATAATTTTCACAACAAAACAGCTGACCCTTGTATTTAACCAATACAATAAGATCAGAGAGAAACAAGTTTAGAAAAGAGTAAAAAAATGCAAATCACTTCCCAACCAAATATAGAGATTTGAATGAGCACAAATCCAAAAATCTAATCCCAAGAAAAGCCTAAGCTGCATTTTCACTTCCAATAACAGTCTCTCTGATACAGACCGCATGAGCTGGATGATAACAAGTCTTTCACAGACCAGCTCACCTGTTACTAGACAAATACTGGCCGATTTTCTCTTGGTTGTTCCACAGCAGCCTGTGCAGGGCCAAAACATTGCCATCACTAATGAAGGACAGGCTGTGGTTGAGAGAGTCGCTCGCCGGACAGTCAGAGGCAATGTCCAGGAAAAATCTACAAGAAAAGCCAAAGTTTAAACTAGCTAGTGGGAGGATCTAAATCCTGAAGATCGCTAATCGCTTTCTTACCTTCTGGCTGCATCAAAATTACCCTTCACAAAGTCATTAAACGGCCTCATGTGCTCCTCTTTCGTGAACAAAACATGGTTGGCAATACTTTGCAGCATCTGACAAATGAAATGCAAGTCTGTTTAAAATGGAAACCTCAAATCTTTCCGTTTGGTCTTCAACTTTATTGTACATTATAATATATTATCTTTCATCATGCTTCTATTAAAGTAATAAAACACTCATGGCCATGCACTGCAGTGATTTTAGGCATTGTTGCTATTATTTAAGTGGCTTATTGATTAATTAAACCCTTCTAGATGGTTGGCTTTCCAGATCATGGACCTGCTTTTGACCTGGCAGACCTTTCTGGACCAGCATCGAAGCAGCAAAATCCAACTTGGCCAACATAAGCTGGTACAACCTGTTTTCCAGCATGGACAACTTTTATAAAAGTAGTATTAATTTTATCTCTATGCAAAAATTCTCACCTTTGACGTGAGTTTAAGGCCCCTTTCCATCCTAGGTGGAGGCTTTTTGTCGAGAATTCCAGCCTCATATGGAGAGACTATAGCTGGGTTCACAAAACGCAGAAACATTGCACTTCCTACAGCTCCAATACTGTTCTGTGGGAAACGCTGGCTAACCACCTGAAACCAAAACACAGAAATACACAGGAACGTGAAAGAAGGACTTTATGGCTGAGGTAACATATGCCATTTCATTAGGATAGTTTCAATTCAGAACCAAAATTCATAATCACATTAATGTATCTGAGCATTTCCAAGTCAAATCATGTTAAATTATTTTTTATTGGAAGTGAACTTGATCATATGATGATATCTGTTGAGTAACTGGATAACATGAGGTTCTGTGAGGGAACTATCTGAATGAAATCGCACCA